ATAATATATATAATATATATTATTTATTTAGTAATATATTATTTATATATTAAAATATATATTATAATATATATAATGTATTATATGTATTATATTATATTATTATATATTATATAATATAATATATATAATATATATTATATTATATTATAATATATAATGTACATTATATATTATATTATATTATTATATAAATATTATATTATTATATATTAAATAAATAATATATTAAATTACGTACTACAATATTATATAAATGATGTTTGTATATATATAAATAAAGTTAGATATTTAACATAAGTTGTGTTGGGTTAAGTGGTTCATAACCACTTGCTATATATATGAGGTACCAGGTTCAAATCCTCCCTTTTGCATTATTTTGCAATTATGTAATTCTGCCACGTGTTACAATTTGCCACCTGATCGCTGACTCGGATACACATGGTCGCAACGTCAGATTTTCGTTAACGGCCGTTAAAAGTATGTACCATTTTGCCAGAAATGTAAAAGTCATGTATTTATTTGCCAAAGTCTAAAAGTCGTGATTAAATTGCCAAACACGTAAAGGTCATGTTAATTCCCGCCATTTTACCAATAAAATATTATAAATATAATTATAAAATATAATTTTAATTCATCAATACAAAAATGGCAAAAATATATCAACTTGGAAAAAAAATATGATGAATGGGCTATAAATTATCAACTTGGAAAAAAAATATGATGAATGGGCTAAAATTTATCAACTTAAAAAAATAAGATAATAGATGATAATTAAAATAAAGACTAATATCTTTTATTTTCCAAAACGATAGATGCATTATAAACTCAAAGGGAACAATGTTCGAATACAATTCGACCAAAAGTCGAAGCAACAAATTGAGAGGACACGCAACAAGCAGCCTAGAATCCGATTTAAGGGAAGCAATAGAGAAAATAAAATAACCAAACTGGAAGGTAATGTGATAGAGATTATATATGATTAAAATTAGGATTATTATTATTGTTATTATTATTATTATTAGTATATTTATTAAATAATGGTTAGCTTAGGGAGTAAGCTAAGTTTAGGGTTAGAACTTTATTTAAAGGGCAGTTGTGATTTGTTATGGGGTGGTGAATATTTGAATGAAAAACTATCGTGTTTCTTTGAGAGATTATCTCATTCTTTGAGTATCGAGAGAGTATCTCGCATATTTCGTCCCACTGTACGCTTCCCTACATCAGTTGGTATCAGACGTCAGCCACGATCGGACGATGCCGCCGACGAGAAGAAATATTGTGACCACCATTGATCGATTCCAGAGGATGGATGATCGACTTCAACGGCTGGATGAACGATGCACGAATTTCTCTACCGGGATCGACGAATTACGCCAGACAATGAATACCATGATGAACGAGGTACGTACGAACTGCGAAGGGGCTGACCGGGGCCATCGCGGAGGGATACGCGGAGGTCGTGGGGGTCGAGGTTATTACGGGGCGCCCCGCCGACGATCACCACCGCCACCGTTGACCGGTGATGTTTCCGACGAAATATCGGGGGACCACGACTTACGGTGGAGTGATGTTTTCGACAAACCTCCACGCAGGTCCGATGGCTGCGAGCGCACGGGCGAGAAAAACCTAGGAGCGGCCCGATTTCACAGTCAACAACTGTTGGGACCCATGAGGATCTCGATATGCACAAATCACGGACAAACATTCAACATAAACCTATGCGCAGCGGATCTAAAGGTTTGATGAAGAAAACTTACTGCTTAAAATATATGTAGATCTGGCTGGCCCGAACAGTTGACCGCAAATCAAATCTTCCCGGAATCGAACAAACTTGACCAATCCAGAAAGCTGGCGTCAAGGTGAAGTCAACGACGTTGACCGATCGGAAAACAGAGGTCTCACGCGCTCTCACGCGCGCGTGTAAGTCTCGGCAGTTGCTCCCTTCCGGCGGCGCATGGCGGCGCGTGCGGCGGCGGCTGGCGGCGATTTCTTCGTCTCGTCGTCCTGGTCGTCGTGGTATGGTCACTTGCTGGATTTGGTCTCCGGTTTGAATGTATGATAGATCTGATTGGAATCCCGTATATACCTTAAGATCTTCTACTGTATTCTCAAACAGCTATCTAGATCTTGTATCAGTGGAGCACAAGAAATAGAACTACTCCTTGGAAGAGAGAGAGAGAGAGGGGGCGGACGACTTCCAAGTTATGGAATTGTTTTGTTCTTCCATGAGCCTAATGCTGTATATATAGAGCTACAATAGGGACCCTAAGGAGAATAGGATAAGGGCTTCTAATATATTAATACTGTGGAGCAACCCCACAATTAATATATATATTAATAATATTAAAGTCCACCACAATAATATTATTGCACTCCCCTCACCTATCCCAAATTACATTTGAGACTCCTTATTTTAATTATCCGATTTACCTCCCCATATATAAGATATAATGTCCATTAATTAATTCGATCACTAATAATCAAGAATTAATTAAT